TTAAATAAAACGATGTTCAATATTGGGTTCATTTTGAAGTTATTGACGAGACGATTATGATGATGTAACTTATTAAAATAAAAACATATTTTTAACGGATTTTAGTTAAAATACGATAATAATAATAATAATATAATTAAATCAAATAATATTCATTATTGGGTTTATTTCGAAAAGATTGACGACACGATTATAATGGTGTAATTTGTTAAAATAAAAAATGAGTATGTAAGATGAATAAAGGGTATGAAAATGTTTCCTGAAAGATTAATTTAGTTGTTAGATCTAATTTTAGTTAATAWAAAATTATGTATTTTAATGTGATAATGGTGTAAAAATAAATGATAGATCATAAATTAAATAAATAGCTATAAAAAATATAAATCGTAAATATTAAAAACATTTTTTCACAGTGTATATAATATATAATAATATAATTAACTCAAAAACTATTCAATATTGRACTCATTTCGAAGGTATTAACGAGACGATTATAATGGTGTAACTTGTTAAAATAAAAAKGTATTTTTTAAACATGTTTTAATTGATGTACGATTATGTATGTTAATTTAATAAAGGTGCAAAATGAAAAACTTAAAAGTAAAAGGTGTAAAAGAAATTAATTAAATAATTAAAAGGGCATGAATTTAAAATTATTTTATAATGTTAAACAAATTGATTGAATGTGAGAGAGGTTGAATATGAGAGGGAGGGGGTGTATAAGTGACGTAAGGGGGTGGTGATTACTAAACAACCCCCTTTTCTTTTTCATTACTTCCATGGTCGTGCCTCGTGGCACTTACTTATTTCCTTAATTTTCCTTTTCAAAATTCAAAGAAATGTAACATTATTTATCTTATATTATATTTTAACCTTAAAATTATATAAAGCATAATATAATATTATATTATATATTTCAAATAATTTAATATATCATGTTATACAATATACTATATCATAGACGGAGGGATCAAACGATAACATCATTTTACGAAAATGCAAAAACAATCCTAGCCCTCAAAACTATTTACCCCATAATTGAATTAAAATAAACAAATCATTAACATGATTTCTTTAAATTTAAAAGTCGATTTTTGGCCCAAATCAAATAATTAATGTGATTTTTAATATTCTTCTATTTTACCCCTATCCAGAACATGGTTACACATAGCAAGGGCTTCTGGCCACTGTATAGATGTCGCAACTTGAATTTGGATCATAAACAGTATTCAACTCAAGGACCCTGAATTCTTACAGATGTCACGCTAATCGACTCTCGAAAGTATATTTACTAATATATATGTCAGAAGATCCAACCCACGACCTGTTAGTCGCTTCATCTACAAACATTTTTTGGGTTTTCGAATGAACTTGCACTTAGATTATTTTTTATTTAACCTTGACATGAATGGCACCATCAGTTTAGCATGTACCCAACCGTAATGTTACACGGATATATAAAGTGGAAGTGCAAGTTCACTCCAAAACCAAAAAATTGTTTGTAGATGAAGCGATCAACAAGGAGTTGGGTGGATCTCACAACAAATGTAACAATAAATATACTCCTAATAGTCTGTGCTTGAGACATTCTTGAGAATATTTAAAACATTTGCACCGTAAAATATGTAAAGACCGTACCAACTGAATAGCGTTTATGATCAAAATTCAAGGCCCCTACATTTGGAAAGTTGCAAGGCCAATGCCACCATTTTTGAGAAGCTTATATGTTGTTGAATTGGGTTGATATTCATTCCTGTTGAGTCTTATTTTTTATTATTATATTCTAATTGATAATTAGCAAACTGAATTGGGTTGATAATCATTCCTGTTGGCTCTTATTTTTTATACATATGCGGTTGCACCAAACAGCACACAACCGATAATGCCGTAGTCTCTTTCACGTCTCAAAAAAGATTTACAATTCTGATAAAAGCAATAGCCCATGTCACTGTTTGCACTATTGTGGCATTGGACCGCTTGACCAATGAACCAAAAAACTACTCATTGTGCCAACCACAAATTTAGCAAAAGGCTCCATACACAAAAACCAAAAACTTTGATAAGTTTGAGCAGAAATATAGAAATGACCCACAAATGTTTATAATCTTGATCATCTAATTTGCATTACCTTGTCATTGTTTCAGAAGCGATCCCAAAAGTAAAGTCGATCATTTTTGTGGGCAACAGCAACAGCTACAAAAAAATATCAATCACAATTGATAAGTACCCGTTTAAATTGGAATGCAACACTTACAAGTGCTATACAAGAATATATATACGCATATATATTTCCAACATACCTTTCTGCATAACAGATTATTAAAAATCGTGATCTACAGTGAAATCCTCAAAGTCAAGGCCAGCATATACCCAATAACCAACATCATCATCATCATCAAAATCATCATTTTTATACATATATGGACAGCCTTCAAGAGAATCGCCAGGGAGTTTTAGATATTTGATCTGCCTTGAACATCTTATCCCCAACTCTCCCTTGAGATCAAGTGAGCAACACTTTCGCAGGTCAAGTGATTTAAGGTGAGGACAACCATCCAGAATGACCTGCAACCCAATATTTGTGAGGCTGTTTCCAATCAGTTCAAGGTGATCTAACTTGTGTAAGTTTTCCCCAATAGCTATGGCTATCTCATTACCAGCATCTCCAAGGCTCCCACAGAATGCTCTTTTATTTAGTTCGAAAGTTATTAGCATAGGGCAATAACGCCCGGCAGTTTCAATAGCTTCTTTTGATATTTCTAACGAGAAAAGACTTAAATCCTCTAATAACGGAAATTTCTTCAAGGTTTCAGTCCAGCTTCTATATGCAGCAGCATAACCATAGTAACAAACAACTTTGAGACGTCTAAGTTGACTTGATCTGCAAGAGAAACAAAAATAATTAAATGGCAACATCGCTTAGGGGTGCATGTCAAAATATTACAACTTATACCTGATATGTATCCTAACAAAAAATATCAGTCCGAATCCAGTCTGCTAATTATTGTTCAAAATATAACTACAGAAATATAAGTAAGAGGCCATTTACCACAAACTTAACTAGTGTCACTTACCTGGTAAGAGGCATGAAAGGACCTGATTCTTACCCGGTAAGTGAGGCCATTCCATTGACCGAAAATAATAATTTATAAGGTACGTGAGGATGGAGACTCTTATCAATAACCCTTACCCATTAAATTTTTGGTAAACTGCTCCTGAGTTAAAATATGCTCACAGAACAATTTAGAACCATCTGATGGATAAAAAGTAAAACAGAGCCTCTTTAACAATAATTATAAGCACACATAAATAATTCCAATAAATCCACATACCTATCAGCAACATATTGTAAAATCTCATCACCAAAACAATTGATGGTGATATCAATCAATTGGCCTTGGCTTCTATCCACAGCATGTTTACGCATGTATGTTTCATGCCAATAATCCAAACATATAACCCTCCACATAGAAGGATCCTTGCAGATTTTTCGCCAAGTAGTGCACACTTTCTGGGCATTCTCAAGTATGTCAAGCACGTCAAGTCTGGAAAGCATATTGGACATTACATCTGATGGAAGATCCAACCAGTTCCTTCTTGGTTGTTCCACCTGCCATGGCTGCTTGGGTTCTGGAATGAACTCGACCTTCTTGGGTTTTTGACAATTTGATTTTGATGTGGATGGCATCATCACTTTTGCATGTACAAAACAATCATAATTTTAGACCAACCCATTTACAAACATATCTACATATGAAAAGGTTTAAGAAATTTTGAGGAAACACAATTGCAGGACGCATTCGTAATTACGAATTACGAATAACAAGAACATGAATTAGAGTTGGCATAGCAAAGTGGACAATCAAATTTCAGTGTAACATCATCAATAATCAAACACTTTCTTACACCTTTTCATACATCAAAGAGAATATAGACGGTTTATATGCTCCCTAAATTTAAAAAATCCAAGTGTTTATGGTTGTGAAACTGGACTTCTGGGAATAATCCAGAGTATCTTACACATGATTTTTCAAATATTTACTACGTCAAGAGCATACATATTTCAAGCAACACAATCAGTATTCATCAAAATAAACAAACCCAAATCAGCAAAAACCATATAGATCAATGAAATCGCATTCTTCATACCTGAATTGGCAGATGGAGAGGGAGAGGGAGAGGGAGAGAAACGATGCGGTGATGTCTTGAATGATGAGTGCTAATGACACTGCTTTTAACAACACAGTCATAAATGCTCTGGAAATTGAATCGGCATAAAAATAAATAAATGTTAAAACCAACCAAACTAATATAATACTAATTGTATACTCGTACAATACGGCGAGAGTCATGAATTTTAACGATTTTGAAGTTTCACTGGTTTTATAAGATAAGATTTAACGATGATATAGGTTACACTTGGTCTTTACATATTAATACAATTTGAATAAATAAGAGTTATGGTTCCAATTACAGACTATCGATGAAAAAAATTGTATGACAGTTTAAAATTCAATACATTTAAAATCCAACATATTTAAACGACTCCACAAATGTATTCGGTTTACACTAAAAGCAAAAAACCAAGAAACTTGAGTTTAAGATAAACACTCAAAAACAATAAATAAAACTACAAATTTGACAGATCATAAGACATAAAAAGACAAAAAAAGATGGGTTTTAGAATGAAATTTCAACTGTTTACCTTCTTTCTTGTCCATAAACTCAAATTAAGGTTGAATTAATACATGTATATATATATATATATATATATATATATATATATATATTTCAAAAAAAACCTAGGAACATATTAATTCAAAACATATTATACAGTGCAATTGGACAGCCTAACCCCAAAATATATAATATATATATATAAATAAATAACTATAAAAGTATAAATCGTAAATATTAAAAATATTTTTTCAGAGTATATATAATATATAATAATATAATTAAGTCAAAAACTATTCAATATTGGACTCATTTCGAAGGTATTAACGAGACGATTATAATGGTGTAACTTGTTAAAATAAAAATATATTTTTTAAACATGTTTTAATTGATATACGATTATGTATGTTAATTTGATAAAAGTTTAAAATAAAACATTTAAAAGTAAAGAACGTAAATTAAATTAATTAATTAATTATAGGGGTATAAAATGTAAATTTAAAATTATAATTTAAAAAAAATCGGTTGTGAGAGGGTGAGTGTATGTGAAGAGAGGATGGGATGAAAAAGTGAAAAAGTGAAAAAGTGAAAAAGTGAGTATAAAGGGTATTTTGGTCATTTAGTATTTTAAGACTTTAAGACTTTTGCTAAATTTGCTTATTAAGATAGTATAGATATAGATATTTTATTATTATTCTTATTTTATATATTAATATGTATATTTTATAAAACATTTGATAAAAAAAATTAAAAACTATTTTTTATACATGAAATACTGTTTGTTGATGCATATCTATACTATATTATAAAACATTTGACAAAAACTCTTAAAAAACATTTTTTTATGCATGAAGTACTGTTTATTGATGCATATTATTTAAAATTCAAGATTACAAGTAAATTGTGCGTAAATACAACTTATTCACGTTTCATGTAACTAATTGCAGATAAACAGAATTAAATAAAGAATAAACATTTTATTTTAAATATAAAAAAACTAAAATATAATTAGAATAATCATTAATTTCTAACAAAATGCTTAATTATTATCTTTATAAAAAAATTATATTATTAAACCAAAGATAAAAAATAATTAAAGAAATTTTAAATAGTTAATTTGATATTAATATCAATTTTTTTTATCATATCTTCATTTTTATATTTTATTTAAGAATACAAATATTACGCTTTCTCAAAATTACATAAAACTATATTATAACATCGATTGAGACAAAGAAAAAACGAAACATTAAAATCGAGATGTATCTCACTACATTGTGCGAGTACCCTTCTAATTACTTAAAATTCAAGATTACAAGTAATTGTACTTAAAAACAACTTATTAAAGCTTTGAATTCGTGTAATTAATTGCGGATAAACATAATCAAATAGATGATAACATCTCATTTTAAAATATAAAAAAACTAAAATTTTATTAGGATAATTATTGAGTTCTAACAAAAAAAATTAATTATTATTATTATAGAAAATTATATTATTAAACCAAATATAAATTACTTCGTTATTTAACCTAGATTAAATTATAATAAAAAATTAAACAAAAAATAAGAATTTTTAAATAGTTAATTCGATATTAATATCGATATATTTTTGTCAAATTTTATGATATTTTTAATTTTATATTTCATCCAAAAATAAAAACATTATCGTTTATTTCAAAATCACATAAAACCATATTATAACATCGACTGAGATAAAAAAAAACAAAATATTAAAATCAAGATGTATCTCGTTGCATTGTACGAGTACTCTTCTAATACACACATATATATAACTTTTTATATAATATTATCTTAAGTTATATTATATAACTATTTCATACGTATATTTTTCCAAGTATGTATATATATTCACACATATTATATAATAATAATAATAATAATAATAATAATAATAATAATAATAGTGATAAAAATTTAAATGATTTAAATGATAGCGATTCTATCATTTTTTTTAGCTCTGAAGACTCTTCTTCTTATTGTGATGCTTGTACTATAGGAAATCTTTGTACAAATTGTACTAATCCAAATGTTATTAGCAATATTAATAACTGTGATAATGATGAGTTTTATAAACTCTCTCCTAATTTCAGGATTTAAATATAAATGTCTTATCTAATAAAAATGTTTTAAAAATTTTGAAGAAAATCAAAGACCCGATTATTTATTCTGAAATTTTAGAAAATCTAGACCTTGATAAATCTGATCTTCCTTCAAATCCTTCGTCTATTTCTATCAATAATATTGATTATTCTATGAAAGAGGTTAATAGACTTCTTCAAAATAAACATTTTAAAGGAAAAGAAATTTTTGTCCAAGATCTTAGTAGAGAAGTTGATATTCAAAAAGAAGAAATAAAAATTCTGAAGGCTGATAATCTTCTTCTTCATAGTCATATTTCTATTATCCTTGATAAAAGGAATTTTGAAAATTCTGATGATATCAAGCCAGAAGATAATTTTAGGATTCCTTCTTCTAATAATCCGGATCCTCAGGATAATGCTATTCTTTCTACTATTAGCAGGATGATATCCCAAAAGTGGTTTACCAAAATAACTCTTCTTATAGGAGGGCATTTTAAAAAAGAATTTATTGCCATGATTGATAGCGGTGCTGATTTAAATGTCATATAAGAAGGTCTTATTCATAGTCGCTATTTTGAAAAAACCTCTTGTTCCCTCTCTCATACTGGAGGAGGTCCTTTAGAAATCAATTATAAGCTTTCTAATGCAAAAATTTGCAACCAAGCTAGTTGTATCTCTACTAGTTTTCTTTTAACCAAAGATATTTCTCATGAGATAATTCTTGGTCTTCCTTTTTTATATAATATTTATCCTTTAACTAGAATTGATGAAAGTGGTCTTTCAGGAACTTATAACAATAAGGTTATCAAGTTCAATTTCATCAATAAACCTGTGAAAAGATTTCTTGATAATCTTCAGGAAAGAATTGCTAGAAAAACTTTCCATCTTTATTCTCTTAAAGATGAAATTAATTCTTTAACTATTGAAGAAAGGATTTCTAATCCTCGTTTAAAAACCAAGATTGATTTCATTCATAATGATTTTTCTCTTAAGATTTGTAATGATCATCCTAATGCTTTTTGGGATAGGAAGAAACATATTGTCTCCCTTCCTTATGAAGAAGGATTCCATGAATCCAATATTCCCACTAAGGCTAGGCCTTGCCAGATGAACTCGGAATATCTTGTTTTATGTAAAAATGAGATTGCTAGTCTTGTAGACAAAGGCCTTATTAGGCCTTCTCAGTCCCCTTGGTCTTGTATTGCTTTCTATGTTAATAAGCATTCTGAACAAGAAAGGGGCATTCCCAGACTTGTTATCAATTACAAACCTCTTAACAAAGTTCTAAAATGGATTAGGCATCCTATTCCTAATAAAAAAGACCTATTAGATAGGCTTTTTCAGGCCCTTATCTTTTCCAAATTTGATTTAAAATCAGGTTATTGGCAAATTCAGATCGCTGAGTCTGATATTTATAAAACTGCTTTCAATGTTCCCATGGGACATTATGAATGGAAGGTTATGCCATTTGGTTTAAAAAATGCTCCTTCTGAATTTCAACAAATCATGAATGGCATTTTTTATCCTTACAGTAATTTCATTATTGTTTAAACACTTGAATATTTTCAAGTCTTTAGTCATTCAAAATGGTTTGGTTATCTCTAAACCTAAAATGTCTTTATTTAAGACCAAAATCAGATTTTTAGGCCATGATATTGAAAAAGGAACCATTATTCCTATCCAAAGAAGTCTTGAATTTGGAGATAAATTTCCTGAAAAAAATTTAGATAGAACTCAATTACAAAGATTTTTGGGTAGTCTAAATTATATTTCGGCATATATAAAAGATCTTAGTCATTATACTTCTATTCTTTATGATCGTTTAAAGAAAAATTCCTGTAGTTGGACTGATAGTCATACTTTAGTTGTTCAGGAAATAAAGAAAAAGGTTAAATACCTTCCCTTCC